GGTGTGCTTGGTTGTGGTCATGTGGCATCAACTTAGGGCACCTCTCAGGAATGTGGGACCTACTCTGTGAACCCCACAGTAGCACAGGTCCCATAAAGTCAGAAAGCCGCCCAGCTGAAGGGGCCAACTGAGCAAGCTGGGAAAAAGGAAGGGGAGGGGCCTGTGGGCAGAGAATGGGACACTAGAAGGGTGGTTCAGAGGAAGAGCAATTTGAAAGGATGACAAGGTCCAGGATGGGCTTGTGGGGAGGGTTAGGTGAGTCATTCCTTTGAGTGAGAGACCAGGATGCAAGCAACAGAAACCCCAGTCAAACTAATGTATGCAAAAAGCAATGTATAGGCTCACAGGATAGTCAGGGCTATCCAAGCTTTAGGCATGGCTTGATCCAGAAGCTCCATTAATGTCATTAAGCATCTGTCCATTTCCTGGCTCCAATTTTCTCTATCTTGGCTCTTTATTCAGGGGAGCTCTCCCTATATGTTGACAAAGATAGTTACTGGCAACTCTGGCCCACATCCCTAACATTTAGTGATCCCAGTGAAAGTGCACCTGTTTCTCAGCAGTTCCAGGGGAAGTCCCAGGATTGACTTGCATTGAACCCACTGGATCAAGAACCTACTTCTGGCCTAATCACTGTGGCCAAGTGAACAACTGATTGAACACGTATTGGCCAGGTCTTCAGTCATGTGACCACCCTGGGGCTGGGTCCCCAAGGGAAGCTCACAATATTATCAGCAAAGTGGATGGCTTGTCTCACTGAGGGCTGGTCTACTGGGTGCTTAAGTGCTCCTACAGGGTGCAAGCCTCAGGGTGGAGAAGACAGCAAGCTGGGACCCATGCCAAGGAATGAAGAGAGGGTGAAAGGCGGCAGGGGTGGGAGGCAGCACCAGAGGAGGCGGCCACTAGTGGAGGCAGGTGGTGTGAACAGCAAAGGGTAGCTTTTGGTGAGAAATACAGAAAGGCAATGAGGAATAAGGACAGCTCAAAACGCACTTTGGGGCACTGGATTTAGCTGGCCAGCAGCACCATCTCTTTAGCATCCTGGGTGTGCCAAGGCCTCTTCTGGACCCTTGCTGCTGGTGGCCTATTGGCTGGCCCTGCAAGGAGTATGGGACAGGCCTGGGCTGGCACTTGGACATGATGGGATGTCCTCAAAGGACAGATGGTCAGCAAGATGGAGGACTTAGTTAGGGAGGGAGGTTTAGGAAGGGATGAAACTCTGTTCATGGAGCACTTAACAGGCAGGCAGGAAGGAGCAGTGTCCACAGAGGACAGATGTCTGAGGCCTTGGTGGCCTTGGTGGCCATGGCCCCCGCTGCAGCCCTTCCCAGCCCTCTGAATCCCAGAACCACCTGGGAAGCTGGTCAGAGGGCTGATTCCCAGGCCCAGCCCCAGAGATTCAGATTTGGACAACCAGGACATGAGCTGGCAGCAGGGGTGGAGCTGCCAGCCTAGGCCTACGTGCCTACAGGAGCCCCAGACCCCCAGACCCCAGCCACAGCCATCTGTGTCCTGATGATGGTACCTCTGCCCTCATCATTCACTGTCTCCACACTAGCCAGGGAGCTTGGGCAGGGCAGGCACCTGGACTGGTTTTGCCTACCGCTGTGTCCGCAGCGCTTGGCCCAGGACAGGGCAGGTAAGACTCTGGCACCTGGCTCTGCAGTTCAGTGAAGCAGGAAGCAGCAGGGAGGAGGCCCCAGTGGGTTATTAAGATTTGCAGATGGAATGGAGTGGCAACTCACCCAGGCGCCAGAGGTCTGCCAGGCCCAGATCAAGGGTAGCAGCAGTCCTGGGCTCCTCTCCAGCAATGCTCCCTCCCCTCCAGTCTACAGCCAGGAGGTCCTGCCCCCACCTGTAGTTTCTGCAGTCTTTTACACGGGAGGTAAAACATAGGGGGTAAAATGAGCTCTCCTGCATTCTCACCTAACCCCAGCCCAGGGTCACTCACACTGGTATGAGTATATACCCACTGTTTTAGAACCTTCCCCCATTTCCCACTGCCCTTGGGGGCCTGTTTTGCAGTTGTCCATTTTGAGGGACATCTGTCAGAATAGACTTTGGCCTATTGCCCAACTGGACAGACAACTGTCCCATATGCTGGACACCAGAGTGTCCCAGGGCTGGGGATCCTTCTGCTTCTACTAATTTTCCCAGCAATCCTTTGGGTCCCGTTTGCGCTCCAGCTTAACCAGTAGGCTCAGGGAGAGCTAACACCCTTCTGAGACCAACTCCACTCTGGCCACCACACCTCGTCCAGGTCACAATCTCTAACTCTCGCTGGAATCAGAATGACTAAGCTTACAGGCCAAGGCTGGTGTTAACTTTGCAACACCTACCTCTCTAGAGACCAAGTTGAGGTCCCTGGCAAGGGCCCTGACCATTAACCCTGAAAACCCATTAATTCCCCCACCCACCACGGCAATGGCCGATGGACCCCCCTGTGCGGGCAGACACACCCATCCCTCCCCTAAAGGACCGAACCTGTCTGTCTCCCTACCCCAGGTACTTTAAGTTCGTCCCAGGCCAGCAATTCCCTCCTCTTGCTGAAGGCCCCTGACTCCATCGAGGCTTACACTGGCCAACATATCTGGGGTATACGGACCCGAAGGGCCCGCCCTCCAACCTTGCCTGCCGAAAGCGCCCATCTCTATTCCACTCAGATTAAACGAGAGAGGCTGAAAGGTTTAAACGCTTTATTGTGCCCAAAAATAGGCCCATGGAATGAAGGGAAGCGCCGCGCAGCCCTGAGCCCTAAGCGATTGTTTGTCGCGCACCCAAAGGCAGGGAGGGTGGGGAGCCGGGAAGGGATGCGCGGCCTCCGCGTCCCCGCGCGCCTGGGCCCGGCCAACCAGCGGCCCCCGCCCGGTGGGCAGGCGCGGCCTCGGCCACCAGCGCCTAGGGGCCAGTAACCATGACGACGACCGTTGCCAAGGCCGAGAGCCAATGGAGGCGTCGCCAGGGCTGTTTCAAAAACCTAAAGCAAACAACGAAAAACGCTACATCGTTGGGGGAGGGGAAAGACAGAGAGGACCCGGGGCCCCTCCCTGAGGCTCAGACCAGGCCCCGCGGCCCCGGCCAGGGCGAGCCGTACAAAATCTACGTCACTTGGGGTAGAAAAACAAAAACACTGAAAAGCCCAGGCCGGCCGCTCTGACCAGCCGGCACGCTCACTTGCGGCCCTTGGGCACTTTGGGGACGCTGGG